TGTCAGTTCCCGTTTTCTGTTATCCTGGTGCACAAATACTATATAGAGCGCAATTATTAATGATGGTATAACATAAGTGAAACACAATCCTAAGCCTTGTGAGTACAATTATGCACAAATTGTTAGGACAAATTGATGTGCTGTTCAAGGCACTCAAAGAGTATTCATGCCAAAAATATTTTTCAGTATCGGGGAGGTAGGAGGTTCAACCAACCACCCTTTATATATCTGCATGCACGACGGTGTGTGTTTGCACAAGTACACATGCGAAATTTCTCACAAACGTGGGCAGCATTTAACCCCTCCACCTTGCTACAATTATACGTATGTTCTGTTAAAATGACAGTGACCCAGTACACTGTGGACAGTAGCGCAGTGGCAAAACGTATTGTGGACGGTAGCACATTGTGTGAAAGCAATTTAAACAATAGACTTGAGTGATGTACATTTTGCGAAATAGGTTCTCCTTGAAATTACAGCTTTTCAGAAATCCATGCTAAGCAAATTGCTACAAGTACGGTTAGGTTGCCCTTCTTCAACCTGAGTGATATGAGCACGTACGCTCTTCCATGAAAAGGCTGATGCATGGTTATGATTCGCCAAAATATGTAGGCACAGAAATATTCACTGCATATACGACAGCTTGAAGAGTGCACAAGCAGTGCGACCGTTTGCGACCAGTCGCAAATGGTCGCGCGACCGCTCCTAGTCGTCGGTGTGCACCAGCCCTAATCAGGTTTAACTGTACAGGGCAATCGTTCTCTCAAAAGTGTACAATGGTTTTGTCCAAATGCGAGCAGTTGCTGACCTTGGCTGTCACGAAACTTGACATATCGAAATTTCTAAAGTTAGTCAGTAAATATGCATTCTATCAGAAGCTGTGATGATGCCATAGAAAATAGACAGCAGAGGTAGCGCTCATTAATACATAAAAATGAGGAACACTTTGGCAATGTAGCATCACGACTACGACACTGAAATGCAACTATGCGTGAGATTTTCAAGCTCAGCATGCTCTTTTTACAGTGTGTGTCTTCCAACATGGCTGTGCCGACAGAAATTTCACATGGCACTTAAGCGTTGTAGGTATGCCAAGGAAGTGCAAGATAAATTGGCGCACTACTTCGTCACAGACGGTCAGGTGCCTTGGCAGGACAAAGTGGTGAACAGCACTTGAGGCGTACAAGGTGAAGGTGGGTTGTAAATGCATTTTATTGCTTACAGAACTTATGTACATAGCATCTTCTTAAGCTAAACAAACAAGAAAAAAATCACCCGTGACACAACAGATACATTACAAGGAAAACTGTCATGTCCAAATATAACCATGAAAACACAAAAATAAATAATTCATGTTAAATTAATTGAGTTATTGCACGGTTATCACTAATATTATCACAGAAATAAGTTGCCCTAAAGGGGTCACGACACCCAATTTTCAACCATAATGTGTGTTGTATGAGCTGATTCTTGTATGTTCACATACAAGCTGGCAAAATTCGAGCGATTTGGTCAAGCTGCTAATTTTTAATCGCATATTTTTATAAACCAGCTAGTCGCCTGACAGTTGGGCAATACTGACGTACTCACTATCCATGACATCACGAACCGCTTGCTCGACAAGCTGCTGCACAGTGTGCATTCTGGCAGACGGTCGTGTTCCGTCATCAACTGCGCTTGCAATCACATTTTTTTGAATTGTCGAACTCTCCACTAGAGCTAAATGACTTCCAGGGGTTGAAACATGGCTACTGTGTCAGCAATGTAGCGCTGGTACTTGCAGCAAATGATTTCGGATGTCAAAATGGGTCCTGTGAATGTGCAATGCGTATACCAGTTGCCATTGCTCCTTCGGCTTGCGACGTCTCGCATGCCATGACAAAATGGCGGTCACTTGTGGTAGGTTGAGTTTTAGGAGCCGAGCACTTCTATGGTATATTTTTCACTAAAATAATCTCTTAAGACCCCTTTTCACACGTGTACTAGCACATTTTACTCTGTAGTTTTGTTATTGCTGATAATCGTCAATTGTTGAGTGACCAGTCATGACCCCTTTAAGTTGGGACTAGAAAAGTGAACACAAGATAAAAAAAGGTGGGTGTCATTGACATTATATAAACACTTCAATTTGCTTCACTGCTCTGTCGCAATTTCGCCTCTGCTTCATACAGCATAAGTTCTACTGCATGCATTACATCTTGTGCAATGTGCACTGGTAGCTCTCTGAGGCGTGCATCGGTACGTAGAGCGAAGAAATGTTATCTTTTTTGATGACCCCCTTGTTCGCTCTGATGTGTTCAAAGTGCTCCATGCACGCTTGTGCCACAGCTTCATGGCTTGTGCCCTCTCCTGCATTGCTGCAAAGCAAGTGTGATCTGCGATTCATGCATATGAATGCTTTAAGGTTGCATTGTTATGTCATAAAGCACCATTTAGCAACAAAAAAAAACAGTGTGAGAACGACAAGGTGGAAACAGAAGAAACAAGACAGAGCACTGACTTTCAACTGATGTTTGCGATTTTCGGCACTAAGAAAGAAAAAAATATAGAGCAACTGAAGCAAATTAAATAGCCCACTTAAAAGATAAATGTGTCAATAGGGTGTCTACCTCTCTGTGAGAAATAAATGCACTTTTGATCTTTGAAATGGACACTCGTGTTTTGGGACAAGGTGCTGATGTTCTGATATTAACGTCTAAATATTACGGTAGTTACATGGGTTCTGTCTGCCTTAGTATAAATGTGCCCACAATGAAGACATCAGTTTAAAGTCAGTGCTCTGTCCTGTTTCTTCTGTTTCTACCTTGTCGTTCTCACACTCATTTTTGTTACTATGTCTGTGTACCAACTTGACCGAGCGTTAATCTTATAAAGTTTTGTATTTTGTAGCATGCACAGGATTGTTAGAAAAAAATCTGCAAGTTTATCCTCTAAGAGTTAGCGGTATATCTCACCTAGCGCCCTCGCAGGTCTGTTGTCGTTTTGACGAGCGTGACCTGCAGTGAATTATACATATTGCTTAAATGTACAGAAAGAGATCCTTTTCAAAAAGTTGTAATTGTGATCTCTTACCAGGAGCACCTATAATAATTTTTTCGTTTACACACCGTTTTGATAGTGGCTGCTCTCTTGAGGTGGTTGCTGAAGGATCACTGCAGAAGGAGGCAGTATTACTATACAACTTATAAAGTGTTACAATTCCATGCAGCAATCTGGTGTGAAAACATTAGGCACATTCTCCAAATGTGCTAGAACATGAAGGAGGTTACAAAACATGTTTTCAAAATTTAATAGATTGGCTATCTATGCATGCCCTTCATTTGTCATTACTTAGGTGGATTCATAAAGGTTTTACTCATTGCTGCAGGTGTCGACACCAGTCTCCTCAGCCGTATCAGGGGTACGTTCCGGTTCCGCTGCATGGCTTGGCCGAGGCGGAGATCTGCAGTGATGAAAATTTCTCTCTATGTATTTGATGATGCCACTAGTACATGAACAGTTTTAGGCATTCTTTGGGAGTTAAAATTCCATTATGATTTCACTCAACACGAGGTTTATTTTACACTTGCGTTACCTCTTGATTGAGCACTACTGTATGAAATGTGTGCATACAGAAGTTTAATGTGCCTATTATGTTAATAAAATGCTATGTAGGCTGCACATCTAAATGGGAACAAGAGATATTGTCACGGAGATGAAGTAAAGGTAGAGGAAGAACTCAAGCAGCTGATAAGCACGCGAGGGTGTTAATCAGCCATTGTGAATCTTGCCTGTGGGTTTTCCCCCTGTAAACACATTTTGTACAAGAGTCTCTAACCCCGTAACAATATCTCACTGGCTATGTGAATGAAATTTATACAGTCAATCCTAAATGGCTGTGCAAACGATGTGTCTGATGAAACTGTGCCTGCTCTCATTATGTTTCTTGAACACATGCTGCATACGACTTTTGCAGCATCATTTTACTGCTTCGAATGAGTGAATGCTTCACATTATTCAGCTCACTTGTATTGCTATCAGCGCTGGGCACTTGTTCATAACGAATTGACATGAATGTGTAGCCAGTGTATGCAGATAATGCATTAGTTTGCTTAATTGCAGCTTGTCGCTGATGAATACTTTGCTTTTTCAGAAATATTTGTCGTTGTACAATAACCACATTCACACAGAAACAATGCTTGTGCCCTCTAGTATTCCTGTGTGCTTCTGTTCAGTGTTGAGTGCTGAATGTATTTTAAAAAATGCAGTGGTTTGGGCAAGCTAACGACCTGAACACCGCCTTTCAAGCACGCTTGTATTTTTCATAATTTTGCAAAGTACAATCACCTAGTAATAAAAAATGTTTCTAAGTTCAAGTCTATGTGTGTACAGCTTCAATGCATGCACATGGTACCGAAAATTTTTGTGCATGCTCACCTCTCCTTAGCCTCTTCTGCTGTGATGTGGCTGCTGCAACAGAACATGCAATATGTGATTCTGTCAGTGCTATTGTGTGCATCTTTAGAGCATTTTCACTGTTTTGCTACAATATAAGTACTTATGCTGCATTCTTGTAATGAATATGTGCAATGCTTGTCTATGAACAGCCTCATGACACATGCAATAAGCGATCTCTTTAGATTTTTCGATTTTGTATTAAGCCTTCCTTCTTTTGGTAAATGAGAGCCGAGAATGACACGGAAGTACACTCAATTCTCTCATTCTTACTGTTCTGTCTTCAATATTCTGGTTTGTGAAGCTGTCCATGCGCCACTTATACGGTATGCTATATTTTTTGCGTTGTGCTGATACATTGTGCTATGCTAACCAAAACATTTCATTTTCTGTTCAATGGAGGGTAAGCATTATTCATTACCTTTGGTCAATGGCACTCATGTTGCACAGTACTCTGAAAGAATGATGCGCAGAGTTATTTTTCGTAGCTGTAGCCACAATTATTCGGCATCAAAATAGCCCATTGCCACCATTTTCATGATCACATGCATGCCAACTGTGAATTACCTATTGGGACTTCTATGTTTATGTGCAGTGTACTTATGTGTATTGATATGTGTGTATTTATGTGTATGTATAACAGTCATGTGAATTAAATCTTTTCTTTTGTTTGGTACTCAATAGTCAGCTAATATTGAACTTATGCCACAGGCTCACACTCTCCTTCCATTATTTCAAGCATGGCCTCAAAATGGGGCCATTTTATTGTTGGAATGTCGGCTGCTCCGGCTCCACTTCTTTGTTTTTCACGTATGTCTTCTTGTTTCCTTTTGAAGATATCACGCAGGTTCTTAAATCGTTTCTCAACAAGGACACCTGAAAACAAAACCCTTGCTGTAAGAATGTATTGTGCATACTGTATCGCTGATAAATTTTCTACTTTATTTCAGCACAATAGTGAGTGTTCTTTATTTTCTTTGCCCAGATCATTTTGGCTGCAGCACCCTAGAAATCTGAATATTGGTCATCAAAATGAATCGCATGCCATCTAAACTTAAGTATTGGTAGGGGCTTAAACATTGCAAAACCACGACATGATTGAGGGAACCTGCAGCCGAGGGTTCCAGAAATGCTACCCACCTAGTGTTTTGGACCATCCACCTACATGTGCACGACATCACAGCTGATGCAATGTTTAGTTGCGCAAAGAGTTATGTACACTGTTTCTTGAAGGTAAGCATGTCTGCCAAGCTATTGTAACAAAGAGGCTGTTTATACTGTTGGCAATTGAAGTTCACTTGCAAAAAGTCTATTTCATGAACCAGCACATGATGTCTTAATCACCTTCACAGTGAAGCTTTCTAAGCATTACTGCATTGTGCAAAAGTCCACAGGTGAGTATATACCATTGGTATCGGCCAAGCGCAACTGTCGTGTACAGTGGGAGCGATTGTTGTCAAACAAAGCAAACATGGTAAATAACTTGAAAAGAAGGATGAAACTAACTAGAGCAAGATGACAATTTTTGAGAGAAAGAAATGCAACAAACATAGTATATGACTCAAAGTGTAACATAGAGAGAGCGAGAGGAAGGAAAATATAAGAAAATAAAGGGACCAAAACATGAAAACATACCAACACATAGAAGCAGACATGAAAAATTGACTTTAAAATATAGGAACAAAGAAAACAAACAAAAACGAGGAACAGTTGAAAGCAGAGAGATATAACCTCTGGGAATAAAATATAAAGGCACCAGTAGACAAAAACACAAGAGAGGAAAGGAACAGTTGTGAAGAAATGAGGATTAGATATGGGTCACATTACAGAGGAATAAATTCCCCCATCTGTGCTTTCCTTCAGTGTTCGCCCAGCCACTAGAACACTACCATATCTTTTTTTTTACGATTGCATGTCATTTGGCATCAACAGCATGTCTGACTCCCAAATCCGGACATTTGGGAGTGCTGCTAAACATGTTTTGTATGTTTTAATTATACGCTCCTCTATGGAGTGCACAAAATGCGCTCAAAGCAGAAGCTACTTTGCTTTCTTTTTTAAAACAGCACAACTGCAATGCATACGCAGAATTAAAGCGTGACACCCTCTCCCCTCCCTGACCGCGCACTAGATATTATGCATTGCAAATGCCGCACGTTCACAAAAGCACACATTCCCTTGGCCAGACGATGACGTACAAACACAGCAAGGAGCATGCGCTAGGTGAGTTGGCAACTGCGAGCAGTATTTCGAACGTCTGAGCTTCATTATCAGCTATACAATGTTCTGTCACGTCGATTTCGATGTTAAACTCGGAAAGTCGCGAGAACAAACGTGCACACAACTGCGCTCGCATACATCACAGTCAATACATCTCATGCAAACTAACCATGTAACCTTGCAGTTGAAATACCAATATTTTCATTGTTCATTCATTGGCAAATCCAGCGATGCAGTACACACCTGTTCTTGCTTATATAGCTACTCAAACAAAAAATCTCGGTACTTACTCGACATGCCGAACATGCTTCCGATCTCTGCCCAAGCCCGGTCCTTCTTTGTCCAATCTTTAAAAGAAGGGTGCCGCTTGTCATACAGATATGGGTACATTTTAATCGCGTCGATGAGGAGCTCGCCCGAGTACCCAAAGCTGGCCGTGGTGGCATTCGCCTGATGCGAGGAAAAATCCATGGAGGAACGTACGTGTCGTTCGTACCTCACGCCAGTAGGCAAGCGCAACGAGAAAAAAAATAACATACGAGGAGGCCGGATGTAAACAAAGGCATACGTCACTTCTGGTCTTCGCTGATTGGTTAAACTGTTTTGCGACTGCAGTCGCGCGACCAAAAAATCGGTCAGGAAGCGACTGGCCAAAGCAGTCGCTTTGCGACCGTTTGCAACTGCTTGCGACCAGTCGCAAATGGTCGCGCGACCGTGGCTAGTCGCCGGTGTGCACCAGCCTTTTAGTGTCCAAGCGGGAGAACACAGTTGCACCAGCTAGCTCGGATTCTAAATCCTTTCGTCGTGACATCATGTAGTGCTCCCTGTTTATGCACTCATTGATTTTCCTAGGGTCTATACAGAGACGAATTTTCCCGTTCTTTTTCCGAACGATCACAAGGGGACTCACCCAGTCAGTAGGCTCGGTGACTCTCGTGATGATTCCGGCGTGCTCTATTCTGTCGAGTTCGTCCCGTAGTGGTTCCGTCAGAGCCAATGGTACACGTCGCATTGTTTGAATGACTGGCCCAGTGTTTTTTTGAAGCACCATGTTATATATACTTTTTTACGCAGCCAGTTCCTGTGAAAAGATGACAAAAGTCTTTCACAAGTTCTTCACGGCAATCCTTTGATACGCTGTGAACGTGTGAGACCAATCCGAGGCATTCGCTTGCGTGTAGGCCCAGGATTGCTTGGCGACCTGCGGAAATTGAGTGGAATAGCATGGTCACCGAGCGTCACTTCCGTACCGACAACTCCAAGATGCTTGATTGTGTCTCCACCGTACGAGTGTAGTACCACGCTACTCTGCTTCATTTCAGGGCTTGGGTGCATCCTGTTGTATATTCCAATGGGCAGCAAGTTGGTCCGAGATCCAGTATCTACTTTAAGTCCAACAGAACGGTGGTTTACGTTCATTTGGACCGTCCAATTACGTTGGTTTATCACTCCTCTTGTCGACACCTCTAAAACGCTGCAGTCATGTTTGTGATCTTAAATTTCGCCGACCAGGGCCGAGGACCTGCAGCAAATTGCAAAATGGTTCCCCTGTTGGCGTTTTTCGTACGTTTGTCCGAACGCAACACAGTTTCCGCGCTGATGTGTGCGGCCACACTTGGAGCACGTGTACATCTTCACATGCGCAGTTTTGGGGTTCTGGCCTGCGTCGCGAACGGTGTCTACTTGTTTTTGACCACGTTTTTAGGTTTCTCGGCGAGGCGCTGATGTTTCAGCTGCCTTGCAGACATGCTCAGCCTTCTGCAGTGTCAGTTCGTAATCCCTGAACAGCTTTTCTCTGAACCTGTCGTCGTTGGTTCAATACACAACCTGGTCTCGGACCATGGAATCCAGAAGTGCACCAAAATAGCATGCCTGTGCATGTTTCTTCAGGTCTCGTAAAAAGTTCTCAGATGTCTTACCTTGGCTTTGGATTATCTTCCGAAATACGTAGCGTTCGTGTACTTCCTTAGTCTGCAACGTGAGGTATTCGTTGAATTTCTTAATGACCGTCGCATAGTCAGCCTTGTCTTCACCTTCCGTGAAGTTCAGCGTAGTCAATATCTCGATGCCATCTTCCGCTACTGCACTGAGAAGGAGCGCTGTCTTTGACGCTACTGATCTCTGCTTGTCACCGGGCTCAGATTCCGCAAGCAAAAGCTTGGACCTCTGCTTAAATGTCTGCCAACTCTTGCTTGCTTCTCCCGTCATGTTTAGCGGCCCAGTCAGCCTTAACGAATCCATTGCGTATTCTTGGTAGCGCTGGCCGTCGAAGATAAAAGCCTTGCTTTGATACACGTCCAGCTTCTGACACCGAGTATCGTGCCGTTCATGAAGCCAACCATGCTGCACTGGGTACTGGTGAAAAACAAAACCAGCTTTATTGCATACGTGTAATATATATAGGATTAGGAAGAGGCGTGTTTTTAAGCCATTAACAGATAAGCCTTTCGAGTTAAGCGTTAAACAGATACGATATGCTTTTGTGGCACACGTGGAGCGCTCGGCTCCCAAGATACAATTCACGTGGGGCTGTCAGGGCCAGCGTCTTCCGAAATATTACGCTCTTGATAGGGCTACAGCAAAACTCCGACTCCGAGGCAAGCGAGGTGAGCAGGCAAGTCACAGTTTTGATGACTAGAAAAGCTGGGCTCCCCCCATTGGACAAGCGAATCCTCCAAGTCGAGGCCTTTGACCAGGAACTAGAAGATGCTACACACTACCGTGAGAAAGTCGTGTATGCGATTGCTGAGGAGCAGCATTTCCTGTCTGAACACAGTTTGTTCACATGTCTAACACGAGCTATCATTCGCTTTTTTACGCCTGTCAAGACCATGAAAACTACAATAGAGTTTGTTTATTAAAATCGCCGAAAACCATGACATATTCTTAGGCATGGAAAGAGACATTGGATGTTTGGGCGGCATACATTCCGATCACAAAAGTGGAATGTTGACAGGTCTAGACAGTTCTGCCGAGGTTGAAGGAAATAACAACCAATCGATCGTGACAACGTGCACAAGCGTGTAAATCCGTGTGCGGCACGAACTATTCCGTGCCCTCTTGTGCCAGTCATGACCATGAAAACTACAAAGGAGTTAGTTTCCTTAAGATCGCCGAAAACCATGACATACTCTTAGGAATGGAAAGAGACAATTGACAGTTGGACAAGACGGATTCTGACCACAAAATCGGAATGTTGGCGAGTGAACTGCCGAGGTTGAAGAAAATGACATCGAATCGGTCGTGACGGCGTACACAAGCGTGTAAACAAGTTTGCGCCACGAGCTGTTCTGCACTCTCTTACGCCAGTCGTGAGCATGAAAACTACAATGGCGTTGGTTTTCTCAAAAGTGCCGAAAACCATGACACATCCTTAGATATGCAAAGCGACATTAGATGTTGGGACGGCATGGATTCCGAACACAAACGCGGAATGTTGGCGAGTCAAGACAGTTCTGCCGAGGTTCAAGGAAATGACACCGAATTGGTTGTGACAGTGGGTGCAAGCGTGTGAATACCACAGCAGAATTCAAGGATTCGGGGACTCCTTTGGCAAAGATCAAGCGACGATGACGTGCATAGAAGATACTCCTCGGCAAACGTTTCACGATGTGGATTGGACAGGAGAAGAACAGCCAGTGGAGAATTGTGGGAATACTCCGAAGTTGAAGAAAGAACCGAGAAACCGAGATCAAGCGAATACCAGTCTTGAAAATTGAAAAAGATGTCGAAAAGAGCTGTGGCATTTGTGATAAGTCTCACCATGATGAAAACGTTGGTGTCACGAGTCAAGAGATGATGAGTATAAAGAAACCTGCTGACCACTTACCAACCAATAAAAATGACGAATTTGATTAGCAGGTCATTGGAGCGAGCAGTCCTAACATGTTTTCTGTCGTGTGCTCATCGCAGAAGCACAGATTGGACGTCAGGACTTTTTTTCATCCAGCTTCGAGGTACCAGACAATACTGTAACGAACCAAGGGGATGGTCGCCTAAAAATGAAGGTTTAAACGCTGTTTCGGCCTGTGAAACTGAAGTGGAGGGTCCTGGAAAAGGAGGCGCAGTGGTACCGCCACCACGGAAAACAACTGTGCAAGCGTTCCAGCAACCATACTGATACGGAGCAGCAAGAGAGCTAGGCACATGGTTCGGGTCGCTGCAATAAATGTTGGTGCATGTAGTTGGCAATTTCATGAAGAATACTACAAAGAGCCGCAGTAAACAGTCTACTGGAAAACCTGAGTGTGCAGTACACCAGCAACGCCACTCCTAGATGGAAATGACAGAAGTGGAAGTGGGCGCCTCACTTACGTGTCGGATCTGCAGGCTTTATCGCAGATTGGTATCAAAGACCTGGTGATAGTACAAGAACGAATGTACAAATGAGGCAACTGCATCACGAACGCGGCAAAATGGTCAGAGCTTGCTCTGTGCGTTTGGCGACTGACCACGTGGTGAACCAGCCGGGACAAAAGTTGTAAATTTCAGAAGTGACCACATAAATTGTGTTTCAATGCATTCCCTTCACCTCGGAGGATGTTCACAATAAAGAAGAGGGACGAGGGTTTAAAGGGAAGCGCGACAGACGTAAAGGAAGAGAAGTTGGAAGGTGGAGCTAGCCTTTACGGAGTAAACATTGTCGTCCAGTGCCACGACCTCGGGTCCTTAAACAATCAATGAGACCTAACAGACAAACATACCAAAAAGTTATAGAAAGTGGTATTAGAAGTAATTGTAAATATCAAGAAAGAAGAGTGCACGAAAAGATAACTTACTGTGGGTAGGGACCGAACCTGCGATTGTCGAATAATGCATTTAATACTCTACCAACTGAGTTTTCACGGTGGCTATCTCTCCGTTCACTTTATGGGACATATTTGTGGAATAAACATAGAAGTGTCTATCTATCATGAAGCAATTAGAATGTCTGCCTTTGCATACGTAACGGTAATTTATGGCAGCATAATGCAAAGCATAGCACATGTAGAGTCTGCCAACATTCTGTGCTAATAACATTGTGTGCAGTGTAAAAAAATATGTCATTGTAACGATACATTAAAACTGAAATGCCATAATTTTGACATGACTAGGCGCACTTCTTTCTATTCGAACTGAAAAACAGAAGTGCTTTACACGCTAACAACCTGAGTATGTGCGGAGGAAGTGAGCAATGCTGCAGATATGACAGGTACAGCTGCTCTAAAAGTAAAATGGAGCATGTGAGTTGTAGCCAAGCTACGGAAAAGATATTGTGAACGCTCTCTGTCAGAGAAGTTATTCTTTATTTTTTACGCAACTGCACCGGAAGGTAGTGCCATCGTTTTTTGTACAAAAATATGACACATTTGGTAGAACGCGCAGGCACTCACTCTTGCGTAGCTCGGCAACAGCTCGCGTGGTTCTTTCACTTTTGGAGCACCAGCACGCTGTCGGTTGCTTCAGTTTATTTGTGGAAGGTGCCACAAACGCCGAATAAAAGCTACAAGAATAAGTTTTCCACTAAAA